TGTGTGTGTGTGTGAGTGTGTGTGTGTGTGTGTGTGTGTGTGTGTGTGTGTGTGTGTGTGAGAGTGCGTGTGTGTGAGTGTGTGTGTGAGTGTGCGTGTGAGTGTGCGTGTAAGTGTGCGTGTGAGAGTGCGTGTGAGTGAGCATGTGTGAGTGTGCGTGTGAGTGTGTGAGTGCGTTTGTGAGTGAGTGTTTGTGTGTGCGTGCATGAACTACCAGTAAGTGGCGGTAAGTCACTGAATGAGTGAGCATTGAGTCATTCATTCAGCTGATTGAGTGTGTTATCATGCTGCTATCTTAAGGACTTTCGTGGACAGCTGACTCCTACAGTTTTTGATATTCTTCATATTCTGTGTGGTGGTCAGATAGAAATTAATCTTTTCCGAGTGTGTGTGTGTGTGTGTGTGTGTGTGTGAGTGAGTGAGTGTGACTGTGTATGTGTGTGTGTGTGTTCTTGTTTTTCTATTCTGGTGAGGACTTCGACCTGAATACACACAGACTCATGGGCACTCGTGTCACTGTGGGGACCTAAAATGAGGTCCCCACGGGCAAAGCCCCACAGGCACCTCCCAAACAGTGTTTGGACACGCCCCATGTGTTTTTTTCAAAGTCCTCATAAGGATGGTTTTCAAGACAAAAATGTGTGTGACTGTGTAACTATGCGCTCCTGGTGGTCACACAGAATACTGCAGTCCCCACGAGTAACATTGTTCTGGAAAAGTGCGTCACTTTCTTCGCACTCTCTAGCGCCAACTATTGGTCAATAATAAAACGAAAATTTAATTATATATGTATTCAATATATTACTATTTACTTATAATTATATATTACTTTATAAAATAAACAGAAATAAGTAAATTTACTGTTGATGCACCTGGATGAAAATTCTGGATACACTGAGCCACAAACAGAAAATTAATTAATTCTAAAGCAAATTCTTTGTTATATTACATCATAAGGCATCAAATAATTAGAATATAATAGATCTGATAACAATGATGCCCTTTATGTAATTTATTGTGTATCTATCTATGTTCAAATAATCATTATTGATGACAATATGAAAGAAATCAAAAAGAGGTTGGCCAGCTCCAGGTCTTTCAGTCTCACTTATGCATGGACTGTTGTTTGGGAGGGGAATCTACATCCATTAATTCTTCATTTAGGTTAAAAATACTTTAATGTGATTTTGTTAATGGTAATATATTATTATTATTATGAACATTATTATTACTATTCTAATATATTATTATTATTTATTTATAATATTATTTAATCATGATCAGTAAATGATAATAGAGTTTTTTTCTCCTCTGGGATACCCTTATGGCGATCAGTAAATGATAATAGAGTTTTTTTCTCCTCTGGGATACCCTTGTGGCTGAGCCTTTCGGCATACATTAAACAGAATTCACAGAGTTTACGGTCAACAGATCACTAATAAACTTGAAAAACAATATATATGTTAAAAAATCATCAGGCCCTGATAATATACAATCTCTGTACCTGAAATGGGCAGCTGCTGTTATTTAAACTCTTCTGGATTATGTTTTTGATATTTCACTACATACAGTTGGGATTCACCAGATTGTGGTAATCTGTTTTAGTAATTCCTTGCACAAATGGTGTGGTATTAGATAACTACAGGCTCTGTGCTCTCTCAGAGCCTTACAAATGAACTGCTAAAACACTATTTTAATGTAAATGTTTCAGGAGTTTATTATTTTGTAAATGCTAACCGCTAAGCTAACAGAGCTGCACATTATACCCTCAGCCCATATCTCAGAGTTTATCAGTGGTCTTCCAGTACTCTATGGGCTAGTGATGCCACGAGACACTGCTTTAGCATGACCTAATGGAGAGTGCTGATTGTGGGAGAATGGGGCCAGATACAGTACATCTCTTCTTTATGATGCTAAAGGATGTGAACAGTACAGAGTGAGAGACAAACA